TCGTGCAGTCGGTCTCCCAGCGAGACGCTGCCTTGATGGCGCAGCCCAAGGAGTTCTGCGTCATAAAGCAGGATTACCCTGTTGAAATCTTGGGAGTCCCATTAGGGACAATAATTCACGGATGAAAGAATGCCAACAACAGTGTAGCAATATTTAAAATGACGACGTAGACAAAAGCACGGATTCCAGGCATACAAATCAACAGGGTGAGGTGGCTCTATGACGGGAAGGAACACACCTGGGCGAAGGAAAATGGCCATACTCGAAGGTCAGTTATTGCGAGCTTACCGATCGAGGCCCTACAACGCGAAGTGATCCAAAATGGCATTGTAATGGACTCAATGCTATACACGGCCCAGCTCTGGTTACCCCGGGCACAAGTCAAGCAGTGCTTTAACTGCAGCTAATGGGGGCACACCCAATCTTCCTGCAATAAGGCAAGGAAATGTAGAGGGTGTGCGGGCACCCATTAGACCAGAGACTGCCCGAAGAAGTTGGCGCAATGCAGCAACTGTGGCAAGGCCCACTTATCGTGGCAGAAATGGACGTGTCCAAGCTTCGCGGCATACAAGGTGTCAGGCGCAGGTTCACTTGGCGCAAGACTCGAGGCATAGAAGAGGGCGTAGCGTACGATGTACTGAGGAAGGACGCCTCGTGGGAACGCGGAGGGCTTTCTAGAGAAGTGGTAAATGGAAAGGCGGGGAGTCGTTCTAAAAAGAGGGGCCGGAGGTGACAGCAGGTCACTATGGTTGGCAGAGGACGAGAGGGAGACGTGATTAGAATAATGTAACTATTCCTAAAGACAGAAAACAAAGCGTGAAGATCTCAGTATTCGAAGTGAAAACTACATAACTATCCTCGCTAGGCGGGTTGGATGGTGCAGTGGTACACCATCCGGGCCGTTCTCCTAAGTATATACTGGGTAGCTTGAACACCTACCCCATTCGAGACAGGAGAAAGCTGGTTCGAATCCAGTCAGACCCACACACTACTCTCTCTCGCGGTGATATCGTATTTGTGGGATGATGAAAGCACACTCGGATAGCCACAGGTTTTTCACGCTTTTCCCTGTGGTGGGTATGCACGGAAGAGGTTATACGCCGTAAGGGTTAACCTCGAGTGGTATCTGCAAATGAAATCTGAGTGTGAGTGTTCTAAATGTCAAATTGAGTCATCCTACTTAAAGTACATATCTTCCGATAAAAACCTGCATGGGCTACGAGGCGCCAAATCAGGCAATATGATATATATATATATATATATATCCTCGCTAGGCAATAAGCCTAGTGGTGCTAAGCTGGGAACCTGTAAATACTGCCTGAGGCATTTCTCCAGAATCCTCACACAAGGCGAGCGTCCAGCGGGCAGGGTATGAACTTTTGGAGAAAACGGCGGAATTAAGAAGGGAAAGCGAAGCATTCATGGCAACTACACTAACAACAGCGGCAAAGCAAATAGACTACCAAGGGTTCATACTTGTGTCCAATCAAAGGCCAGAGGTTTTAAAGAGAGGGCCTGGACGCCCGCATAAACAAGTCCAGGCTCCAGCCCCAACATCACAACAATTTGCACCATCGGGGTCAAATTCAAGACCACAATCATCACTTTTCAGCTCGCAAGGACAGGAAAAGGATGGTGAGGTTTATTTTAGCTAGTCCTGTCTCGGACTAACGGCCACTTGCACTTACTGTAGGTAACGAAGTACTACAGATATAAAAGTTAATAGGGGGGGGGTTTTATCGTAATGGTTTCCCCCTCATGTAAATAAATAGATAAGTTCATCGCCGCCTGCATGGACCCACAGGGCGCCAGATCGGGTTAAATGAAATCGAATGCAAATATGAGGAATGCTTCCAGGAAACGAAAAGGCCGATGCGATGGCAAAGACAATCCTTGCGTCAAATAATCGGGATGGAAACAGACCGGGACTAGAGTGCAACTGGGAGGAAACTCACGAAGTTCTGACTTTTGCAGCTCTCAAACGCCAAGTCAACATCCGGGTACAAAAGCTTGCGGAAGAATGGTGGCTTAAGAACAGATCGAGTATGTATGAAGATCTGGACCTAGTGATGCGGAGAAAACGCCCTCCAGAACTAGCTCTACCTCGATGGGCATATCACCGCCTCATCGCAGCAAGGACTGGGCATGGTGACTTCGCCAGCTATCATAAACGGTTCCAACACCAGAATGAAGAAATGCTTTGCAATTGTGGCCGAGAAAAGCGACCATAGCATTTTGCAGAGTGTCGCCCGACTATCCAGAAATGGAGGACGGAAACGAAGGAACCACGTCCTACGATCAGGGATATGATAGGACAGGAAGGATGGCAGAAATTCTGGCGTTTTTAACTGTAACAAAGTGTTACTGAAGGAGGGCAAGACTGAACACCTGTACGCGGTATCCTCTACGAACCTGGGAGTGAAATATTCTCCCAGAGCCAAATTCAGTCAAATTTCGTAATATCAAGAAATTGGCCCACGAGGGCATGATTCAAAATACTCCGCCATGTCATTTTTTCGCTCCCAACGAGTTCGACTCCTACCTAAGTCTTATCAAGTCTACAAGTACAACCTAGTACATCCTCACCCCAATGACCACACCTCTCGTCAACCTTCTCCGGCCTCAGTTGACCGCCTAATACACGCCCACGCCGGTATGTTTACCCGATGGAGGACACAAAGCGTGGCGCACAGATCTGGGAGACAGTTCTTTGGGATGGATGTGAAAGGGATCTGGAAATGTTGACAAGATGATGCGAAGGACGGATATAACCTCGAAGGGCATGAAATTCTGAATTTTGGCAAGGAGTTTTACGAATTAGGCTTTGTGCGCGCCAAGACTTCGCTTGCGAGAGTGCAGCTGACACTATAAAAACAAGCCGACGATGGAAGGTGTTGTGATCCGCCACCTGGTGGTGTTCTCTGGTATAGTTTAAGTAGCCTGGGCACCTACTCCACTTGGGAAGGAGACATCTCAGATTACATTTCGTGCGGAGAAAAGTTGATGGATGATGGAGGCATGTCTGGATAACTAACGGTTTTTGAGACGTTCCCCTGGGTGGGTATTCACGGATGAGGGTTGATTTGGGGTGAAGAAAAAGCCACCATAACTTCGCAGTAGTACTTGCAAATGAAATCCGAGGCATGAGTGCTCTTCCTTTACGATGAATCATCTATTCTGTACTTTTCTTTGATATTATGTCATAACTAGATAGCTGCATACGCAATCAAAATCTGATGCAAAAAAAAAAAGTGTTACTGTGACGGAAACCGAGTTGGTGATGAGTAAATCGTTTTATTAAACTATATGAAGAGAAAAGAAATCTCTATCTACTAATAACAGGTACTTATAACGTTTGGTCCGCTTCGTGAATCTGCTCACTGATAACTTCCCCCTAGGCCTAATACTCGCTACCGAGCCCAGTATTATCAGGAGCCATTACGCTATGATGTTGCTTCGACCTCCTGGCTTTTTTTTAATATCATTTAATGTGTATTCAGCTATAGAGCTATGACACATGACCGGTGCTATGTATATATGTTGGATGACTCTTTTGACGTTAGAGACACTCATACTCTGTATTTCATTCGCAAACACTACTATGAGATATGCTTGCTTACACAAACAGTCGACTCTCCTCCGTAGGTACCCACCAAAGGGAATTTCGAAACATTTGGTTATCCAAGCATGCCTTCGTCATCCATGTACACCAGCACCGCGTGAAATGTGATTGTGTTTTGCCGGATTCGAACTAACGATCTACTGTCTGGAGTAGAATATATGCCTAAACTATTCAGACTTTACTTGGGAGACCGGTCAATGCGATGTACCACCGCACCATCCAGCCATGGCGGTATTCGTGGTGTCACCTGCACTCTTTCAACCGAAGACTTGGTACGCAAAAAGCTCAAATTGTGAATCTCCTTGGCAAAATTCGAAATTCCACGCGCGTCGAGACTGTATTCATCCCTCGCATCATCTTATTAACTTGTCCTGAATCCATTCACGCCAATCCCAACAAACTGTCTCCCAGATTTGTGCGCCACGCTTTGTGTCCTCCATCGGGTAAACATATCGGCGTGGGCGCGTATTTGGTGACTAGATGAGGTCAGAGAAGGTCGGCGAGAGGTGTGGTCATTGGAATGAGGATTTACCTGGTCGTACTTGTAAACTTGATGAGGCTTAGGTAGGAATCGGGCTCTTTGGGAGTGAAGATTTGACGTGGTGGAGTATTTTGAATCATTGCCCCGTGGGCTAACTTGTTCACTATTGCGAAATTTGAATGAACTTGGCTCTAGGACAAAATTCACATCCAGGTTCGTAGAGGACACCGAGTATAGGTATTCAGTCTTGCCCTCCACGTTTGGATCTATGCATAAGTTATCCTTTACACAACTCCTTGATTTAGTAAAGCCGTGCACACTAAGACTTTATGAAAGATGAAGCGGATAATGTCTAGATATAACTAAATAAAGGAATACATTGCGACTTCGCACTTTCCTCTCTTTACTCAGCGTCATTTTCTTCATGATAGCCGTAAGTATCATCGGGAGCATGTATCTAAGTTAGGAAGATATGATCCTACTTGGAGTTGAAAATTTCTGATTAAATCTCGGCTCAACACAATGTTCAGTGAGAGCTGAAATTACGTACGGAAGACTGGGGACAATTGTTAAGTTTTTCTTGGCTCTGGTGTAAAATTTAATCCCAAGTTCCTAGAGTATATCATGGACAGGTGTTCAACCTTCGTTTCCTCAGGACCATATTCCGCTTGATGGATTCTCTGTGAGGGAGGATCGGTTAATCCATGTAGAAACCGGATACTTCACACGTGCATATCATTTCTCGTAATTTCATTCAACATGCCCCCCACCCCAACCACAACAACAAAAGGAAAAACATTGGCTCGAGGCGGCCCACTGGACGCTTGTGCATTCTCGAACAGATGTAGCAACCCCCTTTGACGCCTTGTGTTGATTGAAAATAATACTACACACTAGATGGCTTCTAGTTTCTTACGGGCACCGCAAATAATTTACAAACAATTTACGAGACCCCTAATCAGCACCCGGTTCAAGCCCTCACGAGCCCTTTATTCCGAAGGTCTGTTTATTCCGGCATAGATAGGCCACAGGGCGTTCTAAAGCGCTTATACACTGACCTGCTTGAAAGTTTGTTATCCAAAAAGCCACGCCGCGTCGCACCATTCAAAGTTTGGCCAAAGATTGGGAAAATTGGCTCTAGGTCTTTTCTTGACTAGTGCTGGATTCGTTATGGCGGCCTTACCTGCGTTTAAAGCTGCCGATGAATACTTGAATCCTCCAACAGACGCAGAAACACTTACCCTCTTTACGCCCGAGAACGAGAAATCGAGAGAAGTTGAGGAGTTTATCACATCTCATTCATTGGCTAACCAGCTACGATCCAAGCCTGAGTTTTCCGAATCTCGGCCTCATCTCAAGGTACCTGAGTCACAGAGGGGTCATAACCTCACAGCGGGAACTTTAATGGGTGATGGTAAAGTTGTGGTTCCTCCGTTTGTTTGGACTGAGGAGAATGGAAAATCTTTAGTTTCTATAATGTATTTGGGATCGGATTTGTGCGGTCACCAGGGTCTCGTACATGGAGGATTTTTGGCAACTCTTCTCGATGAGGGTCTTGCAAGATGTTGTTTTGCTGCACTTCCAAACAAAATCGGTATGACGGCCAACCTCAACATTAATTTCAGAGCCCCAGCCTATGCTGAGTCTTATTTCGTTCTGAGAGCTAAAACTACCAAAGTTGAAGGTCGGAAAGCTTGGGTCGAGGGTCACATTGAAACGCTGGTCGCTGATGACGAAACACCCGTTGTGCTTGCTGATGCTTCTGCCTTATTTATTGAGCCTAGGCAAGCAGCAGTGAGTCTCCCTGCCCAGTGGTAAATGTAAATTCTACATGCAAAGCTAACTAAATGCAGAGTATGGCTCGCGTTTATCCTGTCCAGTAGCTAAATAGATGATACAGGACAAGTTAATTTGCAGCTTAAATATGTGTATATAGTAAAGTAAAGTGATGTAACCAACCGTTACAACTAGGAAATAAACTCAAGGAATGATAGTATCAAAACCTACATTCGTTCACTTGCAAACGAGTACTCGGACATGTACCCTGATCAAACTTCACTAATCCGTGTCACGATCAATGCTACTCATGCGTTATCATTGCTTGGTTTACCTTCGGGGAAGGAAGGAATCACAAATTTATTTTGTGTCGAAGCAGCGAGCTGCTGTGGATGTAAATCACATGCCTCTGCATGACTAACAGTTATAAAAAATCATAGACCCAAGGCTTTCACCAGATCTGGCAGGTAGTAGGTTGAATGGTGGCCCAAATTTATGTAATTTGTACTTTCTCGCAATGTTTACACGTTATACCTTTCCCAAGGCACCAATAACTTTCTCCACCAGCCTGGGACTAGGAGTTGGTACCTTCAAATTCTGGAAGGCTCCAACCTTCTAGATTAAACGCCAAGGCAATTGGCAAGCGATTTCATTTAGCGGCTTTAAATTTAGTTTAACAATAAAATTGATTTTGGAACGAGCGTCAAAAATCTAGGACTTGAAAAATGAAGTGTGTGCTCGAAACACTGCAACATTCCAGATTTTTTTAATGGATGACGATGTGCAGAAACACAGAAGGGCTATCTGCAGCTGTCACAAGTCCACTTAAGTCTTGACAGGGACCAGGTAATTTGATCATGTAGGGGTAGGGTCTGAGCTTAGCTATCTGGTATAATGCCGTGGCATAATGTGAATCTACGAGCTCCTTCCACTCTGGACATTTGATTCAAGCTGCTTAGTGGTGCAGTATTCTGATTGTTGCAACATGTGGGCTCGCGCCGTGGTGTCTGATGAGAAAAGAGCTTGACGCGGTTGTGATGCTATCGATAGTTTAAAAATAACATTCCGAGATAAAATTAAAGACAGCCCTAAAATCGTTAGTGTTCGGTAGACCGACTTGGCGCTAGTCTCCCAAGTGATTATTTTTAGCTACCGACCAACTTCTTCAGAATTCTAAGTTTTGGGAAGTCGCTTTAGGCCCCCCCTTACCATTTTACCCTTAGCAAAGTCTCTCATCAGCAACTTGACGTATCATGCGCAATCGTGCCATGAGCTTCAAGTTATTCATTTGCGCCACGCAAGGCAAAAAAACCCTCACCACCATCATCATCAATTTTCTCTGTCTCCCTGGCCTCCCACTTTAATTTCCTCTACCCATACAGCGGTCGCTGTTATTATCATCTCTCAATCTTATTAACTGCGAGATCTAAAAAATGGAAGTAGCGCCGCTGTCAAAACCTTATCATCTCGAGCCTGATGGATTCATCACCACAGACAGTAATCATCATTCAGAGTACGCACCTGCTCTATCATCCTCACGAGCACTCGCTCGCTTTGAGTTTGAAGCAGACCGAGGGAATGACGGAACGAAAATACTGATGGTGGAGTGGTCCGATGAGGATGGAGATTCGGACTGGGAGATTTCCTGGGAGGGCAAGACAACAGTCCTCCCGGCAAAAGAAGTTTCGCATGATAATTTGCTAAGGATTGTAAGAAACCATACCTGTGCCCCCCGTCACAACGTTCGAGGGGTTACTCTTAAATTCTTCAAAGTACTAACCCGGATGAATAAATAGTATTTTCTACTGGCTCCTGGCGCGAGTATTCCACGTATTGTAGGAATTTCCCGGATCGGGACAAAATCATTACACTTGCAAACAAACCCGCTACCCGCTATCTTTCCCCCTGAACTTGGCGTTGTGTCTCATGGTCGCAAAGGAGTGCTTCATACTCTATGGGCCAAGGCAAGGCTGTCTATAATACAGAAAGAGATTGAACTCGAGATGAAGAATGGCGAAGGGGTCGGATTAGAGATGGCTCTACAAGAAAAACAATGGATAATTGATAATTTCGGAGTTGCATCGAAACATGTACCCGAGCTGCAATATACTATGACGCCTACCAAACTTTCATCTCTCGGAAGTCAAAAGGCTTGTCAAAATTTGAAGTCAGGGCTTGCATCAGGAGGAAGAGGCTCACAGGCAAACGTGCCTATGTCTGCGACGAACGGTTTGTTGCGAACACTAACTGAACGAAAAATACTAAAATTTCGAACAGAGCACAACTTTACTTCTGATCACTTTTCTGAATACCCTCTACCTATAGACTCGGAAAATGCTACTACAGCCTTGCGCCCTACTCCAACATTTACAAGCCGCTCGTTCTCAAACCAGCAGCCCTTTAAAACAGAGTTATCTTCTGGTAATATTACTGGCTCGATAGATTCAATTACAAGAAATCGAATTCATCCAGAAGATGAATTTGAACCAGAAGACGAGCTCTTTGCGCTAAAACTTAGCCCTCGAAGCCCAGAAATGATTAGAAGCCCCTTCAGTCTAGTCGGAAATTTTTGATGAGCCATTATAATATCTAGTACGTTATGGTTTCTAAGGCCCATGGTTTATATAATTAAATTAGGCAATATTAATAGTAAATAAATATCCTTTCACAACCTGCTAATAGTACCTCATCAATCCAGGAAAGAAAGGTTCTGTAGGAATGATACAAGCAGATTATATGGCCGAACCAAAATGTAAATTTATGGTGAGAGTCTGACGACTCACATTAATCGTCCAAGGCAAGTTAACCATAATTAAACTTTTTCCTACAAGGGCTCTTGAACTAGTAGTTCCATACTTCTCATCATTATTTCAAAAACATATGGATATACTAACACCACTTCACAAACCAAATACCCTTAGCTTTTATCTGACGATAAAGTGAAAAGCACTGTTTTCGTCGAAAAGTCCCTGGTTGTAGCGAGGCCGACAGCAGGTAAGGTTACAGCATGCCTGTTTCCATCTTGAGGATTATTTTCAATAATCTCCGCCTTCTCACATGCCATTGTTGACATCGATTTTCCAGGATGACACCCTGTTCAACCGCGGGTCATAGCCTAGCACTAGCACTAAAGATCAGTAGTTACAGCTGCTTTGCTGCTCGCTCGTAGCTCTAGATACGGCAAAGGCCTTAGCTCTACACAAAGGACTGCCTATGTATAGTTAAGTGGGCCATTTGGTCTCTATTTCACGTGCCTAAAAGTCATTATTTGATCCCTGTACCCTGATACAATAAGCTCGGCTAAGGCAAACTACGCCGCAATACGTGGTGAAGACCTCTACTTTGATGCTGGTTCTCATTCCTCGACCAAGCAGAATGCACAAGCCCCTATCTTGCCCATTACTTATCAGCCACCCTATTACTTACACGTGACTGATTTCGGTTCCGCCTCCACTATCTGTTGCCCTCGTTGGCAACAGTTTCTATTGTAGCAACTAATTGCTTCGGCATCAATATAAGCACGGAGGTTGATTAAATTCCATATAGTTCTCGGATATCTGAGTCAAGTCCACACACCACCAAGGCCGTGCTCATTGGAGGGCCACAGATTGTATGATCTCCACAGTCGTGCTCTATAGTCATCTTGTAATGCAATGCAAGTGCACGTGTACGTTCAAGCGACCATACCATGAACAGCATGCCGCCTTGATCTACTGCCCCCACTGGACACTGTCATATCAACGTGCCTTTGAATGTCGAGTTACTTGCTAGGCGGGGTTGATCTGCATGACTTCGTTATTTGGATACTTCTTTGCGAGTATATCATACTGGAGTATGAGTTTGCTTATCATAATAGTTAAGACATAGACCATCTAACACATTGAGCTCCTCTCTCACCTAGGCCATACCTCTTGTAAAGTGCAACTTGCATCTTTTGTTACTTGAATGATCATTGATATATTGCCCGTGATGAATAGCTATTCAGCTTAGTGTTTACCCTTGGAACTCGGCCGCCTTCTCCACGGAACATTCTACCCAAAAAAGTAAAAATGGTAGCAGTGGAAGCTGCGTGCGCCGGAAAAAAGTCTCAAAAAACCTGCAGCCTCAGCCAGGCGAGGACTAGACACGGGGACCACATGAGTTGAGTAATTTCATTTATATCTCCCTTGTTTGTAATATTAGAGGCAATCTTCATCCAAAACACCATCACCGTATCGGGTTCTGGGTACGCTCCAGACACTAATTGAATGGCTTTTCCTCCATGATCATGGGTTGGTGATGAGAATGGCTTCGACCTTACCATCTGATCTGTTCGTATTTAGCTTCACGATAGTGGTAATAAGGGCTTGTGCTGATAGATGAAGAATAGACAGACTCCGAAAGCGATTGGGAATCCTGATTGAAGCGAGGACTATGTTACTCAATATCGGCTCTACAGAATGCACAGTAAAAGCAGGAGGCTTATATGGGACAACACTGATAGATGCACAGTCTTAATTATTGTAGAGCGCTTCGCTTCTTTTTATTTCTTACAGTCGTACTGGCCCACGACTCTAGAATAGAGAACCATGTGCCGCATAGCTCAGTCTACAAAGACTACCCGACGTGCTAGAGTTCCAAATAAAACACAGAAAATTAAAGAAATGAAGCCGAGCCAATACTTAGCAGTTCTGGAAATTGTAATGAATTGGAAGGATTGACAGCCTCTGCCAACCTGGGCGATACCCCCAATCTGAAGTTCTACACTCCATCCAATTCTAAAACTTCGGCGGCCCAGCATCTTTCCCGTTTTTACTCACAGGATTCACTTTCTTCCTTGCACACCTATTGCAAGCAGATCCAAGTAGGCGTTTTCCGAGAATTCTCCGTGAACAGTATTGTTCGGAATAGAAGTTGTGGATCGAGATGTGGCTTTTTATTATTCTTATCTACATATTTAGTGTATTCAGCTATTTGGCCACGACAAATGATTGGCGCCACCATTCCTGAAAATTTTCGAATATTCTCATATTCCCCTTCTATTCCCTATCGCGCTCGTCGCATACATTCGAAAATTGAGATCGAACTTCTAGCATGCCACCTGTTCGAAAAAAGCGTCCCAGGGTCACGTTGAGCAACACAAGAGTCCGCCCGAGGGCTCTCAATCAAACAACGGGCCCTGCCCAGTCTCCAAAATGCGTGGAGATGGGCAAGTTACAAGCAAAGAGAAGGAAAAAGCTCTACCCAACATCTCTGCGCCCGATACTGACATGATCGGTTCAGTCGAAAATGTTGAAATCCCTCAAACAGCCTCCAATTCCTACGGGATAGGAGGACTATCTAAATCTTCTCCGACAGAGCCAAGACAGTCGAAGAATGCTGCAAAAAATGCAGTACCAAAACCAACGTTGCAGCCAAAAGCTACTACGAAAGCAGAATGTCCGCCCGAGCTCCGACCGATTCTTGAGGCCAAAGAACTATCATAGGATACTAGTCCCGATAGTGAAAACTGTCCCGCAACCTACGGCTACAGCCCCAAAGAAAGAGGCTGTCAAGGCAAGAGCTGACAAACGACTGTTCCTACGACTTGATAGCAACCACCCGTGGAGGAAATTGTCCCCCGCGGGTATCTTATTCGCATTTTTGGAACAAATGACATGCATTGTCGTTACTAATATCTCGATACACCGAGTTAAGTCAGATTTTGCCACTGTGGCAAAAAACGACGAACAAAGACAAGGCCTCATAGATGCTTCGTCGAAATTGGCGAGTGTCAACACCAAAATCGAGACATCCTCGAACCTTGTCGCCTTCCAGATAGCCAGTGTGCCAGTGAAAGTTCAAACACTGAAGGGCACTGAAACGGTCGACGCAGAGTGGGTCTTTGATGAGATCACTAGAGTAACCGTAGAGGAGCTGTTACAAGTTCTCCCACGCGCAACTGGCATGTCCTTTTACCTCGGAAGTTCGCACCTCGTGCGGAATTTCGCCTTCTCGATGAGTTTGGAATAGCTACAAAGCTCTATCCTCGTCGCCAAATCGAGCAGTGTCAACGCTGCCTCGGCTATCACGCCACCCGTGGCTGCTCCCGCGGTCCGGCTTGATGGAACTACGGTTCAAAAATGCACTCCGTCGCGGAGTGCCAAGCTTTCCACTGTGACGCCACGACATTTCTAATGGCCACGTATGCGGCCTCCAATCACCGATGGGCCGACTCAATACTAATTCTAGGACTCCAACGACTGGTCCCAAATAGTCACGACTCTTTAGCTTGTGACAAAGCACGATTCGAAAGGGTTGTAATAGATGCCGGTGTTCATACGAAACCTCCAGGCTGTAGATGACTAGGGACAGGAAGTTTCGCGTTAATAACTTGATCTGGACAGTTGATGAATTTTTATGTACATATATGCAGACTCGTATCCTTCAAGACACTTTTCTCTTTAGTTTAGAATCTTATCTTTTAAGCCCACGCCAGCTTTTGACTACTAGCCAATTGTCTTTTGTGCCTTGGGTTTCCACAACCACCAAGTGTCGCAACTGTGGTGGTCCTCACAGTTCGGATATTTGAGAGTGCTTAGCTTGAGCGATCTGAGTTGGTCCGATAACCATGGAGGAATTGGTATTTATTCGACATACCAGCCAACAAGAATTCGCTGCAATAGCCCGAGCGAAGGCTGCTTCGAGAAGTGCCGAGTCAGGAAGTCAACCTGTCTCGAAAGAGACGATGATGTAGGGCAGACTAGGTTTTGATGCCTTCAATCCCGAGCAACAGGCGTGAGATTGGACAAGTGCCTGGAAGAAGTCAGCAATTGCCACTCATAAATTTTGAAGAGTGACTGTTGTGCTATCCATGTTACTCTGGTAGATACTTTAGGTCACGTAATAGTATGTGCACGTGACTGTGGAACTAAACCGTGGGGTGTTTAGTGTGTTTTGTTTTGTTCATTAACGTGCTAGGTAAAGTGAGTCTCGCAGCACTCCTACTGGAACTTAAGCAGGAGTGGGGTCGGGCCGAATCAGGTTAACTACCGTGAAGTGCAGACAATCCTCGTCCCATCTAAATAACCGGATCATCTGAGTCTTCACCTTTGTGTTGAATTACACCAAGCCTGACCAGCTAGAAACCCGCTGTATACACGCCGTTGCGCAAATTCCTCCTCAGCTTCGGCCACCACGCGCCTGAACCCTTGACGAAGGTGTCGCTTGTTGTAATACGAACGGCAGACAAGTTATAGCCTATCTGCGGTTCGTATTTGGGGTGAAGATGGTTAATTTCGTCGAGTTGTGTAGTCGCGAAATCTCTGCAACTCGGATTTTCGACCAAAAATGAGCCCACACCAATCTTCGCGAGCGCCAACTCGACGAAAACTCTCAAATTCATCTTTTGTCGTGACTGAATCTCGGCTCTGGGTGAACATTACTCCCAGGTTCGTAGAGGACACCACTTACAGGTGTTCATCTTTCGTCCTCCGGTGTTTAGTGTGTAGTGCATGTGTGTGTGTGTGTGTGTGTGTGTGTGTGGATTATAGACCCAACTAGAACTCGATAGAATAGAGATAATGGAATCGGACAGAGACCAATGGACGCAGGGAAAACGAGATTGTCATTTCTCCTGGGAGAGAAATAATATCACGAAGGAATATTCCAGCACTGAGCTGTGAACAATCCAGTAAGTCTGAAACAAGTTGTAACTGTAGCAGCCTGGAATCAATACTTTAATTACTGGGTCACATGACCTGGAAAAGGTTTTATACTAGGACGAGAACTCTAGTATATTCGACTATACATAGTACAGTTGTGGCATACTGTCACAATAAGGAGGTCTCAACTTCCGTTCATTTCCTTAACTAAGTCTGCTTTATACAAGAAAATAAACAAAAGTCTTACTCATCACAAGAACACACGCGACAGCGATCAACGAGACCTATTGTGAGGATAACTTCTCCAACAGTATCCATCGTCCTGCTACTATATAGCCTAATTATTAGGTTGGGGGGCCTTCTATAGCTATATGACTGTAGAGAGGAAAAGGGAATTAGCACAGTGGAAGGAGGTTAGATAGAATGAGAAGCGATAGTGTTGTATTCACAAGTGTGAGATAGACTAAAGGAGGGCAAAACTGAACACCTGTAAGCGGTGTCCTCTACGAACCTGGCAGTGAAATATTCTCCCAGAGCCAAGTTCAGTCAAATTTCGCAATACCGAACAAGTTGGCCCACGAGGCAATGATTCAAATTACTCCACCATGTCAATCTTTCACTCCCAAAGAGTCCGATTCTCAACTAAGCTTCATCAAGTCTACAAGTACGATCTAGTACATCCTCATCCCAATGACCGAACCTCTCTCCGACTTTCTCTGACCTAAGCTGGCCACCAAATACACGCCCACGCCGATGTTTACACCCGACAGAGGAAGCAGAGCGTGGCGCACAAATCTGGGAGACAGTTCTTTGGGATGGATGTGAAAGGGATCTGGACAAGTTGACAAGATGATGCGAAGGACGGATATAACCTCGAAGGGCATGAAGTTCTGAATTTCGGCAAGGAGTTTTACGAATTAGGCTTTGTGCGCGCCAAGACTTCGCTTGCGAGAGTGCAGCTGACACTATAGAATAGAATAGAATAGAATAGAATTTTATTTATGTCCCTACTGAGTCTATGACTATGAAGGACAGCTAAAACTATCTAAATAGCTTTAAAGTTAACAGTAAATTTAGCTGACACTATAAAAACAAGCCGACGATGGAAGGTGTTGTGATCCGCCACCTGGTGATGTTCTCTGGTATATTTTTTTTTTAATTCATATTGTATTCAGCTATCTAGCTATGACAATTTGGTTTATTTCATGGTGTAAACAAAAACAAGAACAAAATTAAAATTGACAACGTAAAATAACTAAAATCAGATTACATTTCTAGTGTCATTTCTCATCCTTTAAAACTTTTCTGACTATAATTCATTCTTATTTCTATTATTTTTTTGCCTTATATATCTCCTTTGTATTTTGATATACACTGAGAAATTTTTAAAAATTGTAGTAAGGCTTCCCTTCCTCTATTGGTTCTGAGTATTATTGGTAATATTCTAGGCTCAATGCTATCAAATGCAGTGTCCCTTTCTCTTCGAAATTTGGTACAGTGGAGAATGAGGTGCTTTGTTGTCTGCTTTTTTGAGGGGCAGAAATTACACCAATGATCTTCTACCTTTCCTATCTTGTTTAAATATGCTCTTGTGTTGCCTATTCCAGTTTGGACTTGAAAATATCCAGATTCTTCTAGTCTGGTGTGGCCCTGGAAGTTAAATGGTTTTAGGGTAATACTTGGTGTGTGTAATTGAGCTTGGGTCCTATAGAATTTGCCGAGCCCTCTGCATTTTCTTCCTTCCTCTTCCCTTAGCAGTTCTGTATCCCAATCTTTATGCCATTCTTTGATTACATATTCTTTTGACTTTTGTTTTAGAAATGAATGTGAGGTGAAGATGTCTTTCTTGAATGCCTTCTTTTTCGCTGCCCCTTTGGCTAGTGAGTCTGCAAGCTCATTGCCCTCAATTCCTAAGTGGGCTGGACACTAATCTATCTTAAGGGAACACTCTTTAGCAGTATTCCGAACCTGATGTGATTGGTGATTGGTTTTCCCCATAATCCTTTGTAGGCTTGCTTGGCTGTCTGTGAAGATCTGGTATGAAGCAGTTGGCAGTAATTTCTTTAGATATTGAATAGCTTTAAGGATGCAATAAGTTTCAGCATCTGTTATTCCAATTGATTGTTCTCTGGTATAGTTTGAGTAGCCTGGGCACCTACATCACTTGGGAAGGAGACATCTCAGATTACATTTCGCGCGGAGAAAAGTTGATAGATGATGGAGGCATGTCTGGATAACTCACGGTTTTTGAGACGTTCCCCTGGGTGGGTATTCACGGATGAGGGTTGATTTGGGGTGAAGAAAAAGCCACCATAACTTCGCAGTAGTACTTGTAAATGAAATCCGAGGCATGAGTGCTCTTCCTTTACGATGAATCATGTATTCTATACTTTTCTTTGATATCGTGTCATAGCTAGATAGCTGCATACTCAATTAAAATCTGATGCAAAAAAAGAAAGAGAGATAGACGAAAACTACAAATTACCAACTTTCTCCACGCGACTGATCTACATGAGTAACGTTATTGACGCGACTCCTAAGTTTGACTTTGACTATCTCGGCTAGCTCTTATACCAACTAGATACATCTTGTCATTTAACACTAGTTAATGTAAAATGGACCAACTATGGTGGAGAAAACCCGTCATCTCATCTCCTGCTCTCAGCGGAGGTTGAGCAACATTGTCACTTGGAAGTTGTGATAGAGAAAGGAATGCGCGAGGAGCGTATTGCCAGTGTTCGATTTGAGGAAATACTCTGTTTTTTTTGAAGGCGTTCTTGATAATCTTGGTTTTAGTTTTAAATCTGCTACTATTTTGGTGGGGATTCGTGCTCTTTGATCCTCGCCTGTTTGCGCCGGTACTGTACCTTCGTGAACATAGAGCATTAGCTTATGACCTTAAAAGTACAAAGGAAACATAGCATGATCGGTGCTACGACACAAATGGGATGACTCTTTTCAGGTTAGAGCAACTCATACCCTAGATTTCATTTGCAAATACCACTGAGCTTCGTGATGTCGCTTTTTTGCTTTAAATAGTCTCCAAAATTGTTTGATTTACGGAGAGGGAAGGCGATATTCAGCTTGTGATAATATTGCTTTGGATGGTCTTGATTATCTTCATTGTGGTTTGCGTACCCGGAAACCTTCTGCACATTGGAAGCTCCGACCAAAATCGGCCCAGCACTGCACCTCCTGACAAGAACTTCAACCAGGAAAAATGGATTCGAGCATTGGAGGATGAGGAAACCTTAGCTCTGGAAGAACATTGCACGCACAGGTTCGTAGTAAATACCACGTATATGTGTTCTGCCTTTATCCTCCGTAAAGACTTTCACTAGCTAGAAAGAGATAGATATATACTTCGTACAGAGACCATGTCATCTGACTCTCTCAGCTCATCTGAGAAGATCGAAAACTATCTCTGCAATAGAGTGAGCTAGCATGACGTTAAATAATAATAATAATGATAAATATCTCTGCAACAGAAAAGATTAGAGTTCAAGTCTCTTCTAAGTCTTAGATTGAGGAGAACTGGTAAAGCTATCTTACGAGCTTTAAGTAAATGGTACTCTATTTGTTGAATCTATTCCATATGTTCTCATATACACCAAGGGTCATGCCCTGATGCGATCTCTAGACATATGTACAAAGGGATTAATTTAGCTGTGACATAGCTGCATGTAGAAGATATTTGGCGTAAAATTACACAGTGAAACAGACGTACACAAACTTCTTCACTCGTGGAATTTGAGACGAATAGTCTCACTGTATAAATTAGAGATATATCAAAGCTGATCAGCTCATGATAACGGAAGTCGTGCTCAAAAGGTACTACGAACTCTACTTTTAGATTATTAACTCACCACAATTTTTGTTCCTGCCTCATGTATGAAGCTGATTACGTTTATAAAATCGAAGAGTTTTTTTTGGATTGCAAATAAAGAAATCATTCTGATCAAGAACTCTAAAGTTGACGGATTGCTCCCTGATAGTCGTCGGAAAAAGCTTATAAGCGTTAGTGTCGATTGTCCTTAATTTACGTATAGGTAAGGTTTGTTCAATGCAAAACGAAAGGTACGAAAGTGAGGTATGTGTTCTTGTATTCTCTTGTTGTTTTTATCTATGAACATTGCGAACGTGTAGTTCGTGGTCTTGGCTGAGTCATCAAGACAATGACTCAGCAGCCGAGAGATGCACTACGCTTAGTGCAGAGCAAATTGAACCACTTTCCGACACTTAGAACTATTAATGCAAATTAGCTATGTAAGCTGGACTAGTTTGCAGATGTAAACTGGATATGCCGTTCATCGAAGCTAATGCCTAACTTTGGACAACATTCCGGGTGTTTTTGAGGACCTTAATTCGCAATTGTTAGCTCGGTTTAGTACAATAAATCGATATGTCCATGGTACACTTATCGTCTTTACATCATATCGCTTCAGCCACCTTCTGGATTACTATTAAATTGAGACATGACTTTTACATGTGTTTTCCTAAACCATACATATACTGACAGATTTACTTGCGTAAAACTTAGACCACTTGGTGTGAAAGTCACATATTTCGTTGGAGGATGTGAGCGATTATGAAAATGAATAATGGAAAACTTCCTGCTACGACAAACTCGTAGCACTGTAATATCTAGTCCTACTCATAATTAAGTCCCTGAGCATCATCAATAGTCCCATAAGTCTGTACGCAGATCGTTTTTTTGCTTTTGGACTGAATCCAGACTTATGCTTGCATAAGTCTGCGTACAACTTGGTACTAATTGTTATCGAGATTGATCCGTTCGTCCTAGGGCTGAGCATTTGGGCGGGCCAGGGCTTGGCGTTTACAGGTCGGATGGTGTGCTAGGAGATCATCACGCATCAACAATCAATACTACTGCTAACGTATTCAATTCCAACACCCAAGTAATCCATTAAATGCCTGAAATCTAAGGACTCTAAAGACTTAATAGAGAACGTTTACTTAGGGTACGAAGAACTGTGAGACTCGCCCAACAATTATGTCGTCGACATCCGCAAAGTATCTATTAGTTTCGTTACCTACATCCATCGCTTCCAACAATAAAGAAGAAGCGTTTGCAGCTCTCCAGTCTACAGTATCTGGTGATTACACTGTTGTCACGCCATTTAGTCTTCCTGAGTTTAAAATAGGAACGCTAGACAATTTAGTCCAACAGGCAGATGATCTAGCTAAGCTTGAGAGCAATTGTGAAGCTACCGTCGCTAAGATTGGTGACTCTCTACGTAGTCTTTTTGGCGGAGATGAGGAAAAAATATGCCAGCAAAAGACAGTCAACGATAGTAAGTTCCAACCCTAGAAAACGACCGGAGTGTATCTTAAATAGTTCTGACTATATTCAGAACCGGTCGACCAGTACCTAAAAAACTTCGCCTGGAACAAAGTCAAATATCGTGTCGATAAACCCCTTTCAGAACTGATAAATGCTCTTCAAAAGGTAAATCTAATTTACAGTTATCACACCGGACCACACGCTAACCAGTGCTCACAGGAACTCCTCAGCATCGATAACGACGTCAAAAGTAAACTAGCTCACTACAGTCAACTTAAAACCAACCTGAGTTCTCTGCAGCGAAAACAGACGTGGGTTACGATGCTTAAAACCAATATAAATCCACTAATATTGCCAGTGGAAATCTCGCTACAAAATCCCTCGCATCGATAGTCAATCCATCGCTATTAATTCATGATTCGGATTACCTCGAAACTCACATTATTGCCGTTCCAAATAGTAGCTCAAAAGAATTTATCCAATGCTACGAAACATTATGTCCCATGGTCGTGCCTCGATCTTCAGTCGAAGTATCACATGATGAAGAGTATAAATTGTACGCTGTTACAACCTTCAAGAAGCATAGCGCTGAGTTCCGGCAAAAGTGTCGAGATATGAAGTGGATTGTCCGGGATTACAAATATACAAAGGGCGGGAAAGAAGAAGAACAAAAAGAGGTCGAAAAGGCTGCGAGAGACGAGCGAAAAATTTGGGGCGAGGCTATACGTCTTAGCCGTACAGGGTGGAGTGAGAGTGTTATGATCTGGATTCATATTTTAGCATTAAGAGTCTTTGTTGAGACAGTGTTACGATACGGACTACCATTAGATTTCATATGTGGACTAATTAAGGTATGCCTCAAAGAAAAGCCCCCAAAGATCCTGTAACTCGCATAACGCTGACCAAAAGTTAGACGAACCAAAAATCAGCTAAAAAAGCCAAACCAGCGTTAGACTCTGCCTTTTCTTATTTGGGAGGAAATGCTTTTGGCCGGGATAAGACAGGAAAGGTTATGAAAGATGATTCAGCGATATCGTCAGAAATAGCTGCTGCAAGCGTTGCAGCCTACGGCAAAGAGGGAACCGAATATACGGCGTATGTCTACTATGAACTTGAGATTATATAGCGAGGATCTAAAAGATCAGTAATCATTTGCTCAAGCTCTATATTTCCATTATTAATCAGAGATATTATAAGACGGTCAAGACTTTGTGAATGGGGAAATAATTATAGGCTTTAGGCAAACTAAAAATTAATAAGAAGCATTGGACTACGGTATATAATTACTATAGTAATCAAATTGTGCACTGCGAGTCGGTCCGCTCCCAAAATTTATTTTGGGTTTTATTAGAGTCTCACAAGGTAGTATATTTAAAAAAGTTCAAGATAACCTCCATCCTACAATATTTCAAAGCTCCATGGAAGTCTTATCTTTTAACAAAACTAAGCCGGCGTTAAGAGTAATACATGATAGATGAGCGTCAGTCACCTAACTGAGACCTGTAGTCATCCCAAACTGGAATGGACCCAGATTTATCTACATATTCTTTTATTTTTGCATCAGATATCAATGGGGTATGCAGCTATCTAGCTATGAAACAATATCAAGGAAAAGTACATAATTGATGACTTAATATAAAGTAAGAGCACTCATGCCTCAGATTTCATGTGCAAGTACCACTGCAAAGTTATGGCGACTTTTTCTTCACCCCAAGTCAGCCCTCATTCGATAAAATCTGAGGCACGAGTGCTCTATTTTTAAATTGAGTCATCTATTGTATACTTCTCAGATATTGTGTTATAGCTAGATAACTGAATACGCAATTAAAATCTGATGCAGAAAAAAATCCCTCATCTGTAAATACCAACTAAGGGAAATGTCTCAAAAACTCTGAGTTATCCGGACATGCCTCCATCATCCATTTACTTTTCTCTGCGCGGAAAATATTCTGGGATGTCTCCCCCCATTCGGAATAGGTGCTCAGGCTACTCAAACTATACCAGAGAACACCACTAGGAGCCGGACCACGGAACCTCCCATTGTTTGCTTGTGTTTACAGTGTCAGCTGCACTCTCGCAAGCGAAGTTTTGGCGCGCACAAAGCCTAATTCGCGAAACTTCTTGCCAAACTTCGGAATTTCACGCCCTTCGAAGTTATATCCTTCCTCCGCATTATCTTGTAAACTTGTCCTGATCCCTCTCACGTCCATCCCAAAGAATTGTCTCCCAGATTTGTGCGCTACGCTTCATTTCCACTGTCGGGTATAGATGTCAGCCAGAGCGTGTATTTGATGGCCAGCTTAGGCCAGAGAATTGTCGATGAAAGGTATGGTCATTTAAACGATGATGTAATAGGTCATACTTGTAAATTTGATGAGGTTTCTGTGGAGATCGATCTCCTTGGGTGGGAGAGTTTGGTTTTGTAGAGAGTCTTGGATCATTGCCTTGTAGGCCAAATTCCATCTTATTGCAAAATCTGTTTGAACTTGGCTCTGAGAGATTATTTCACCCCCACTTATGTAGAGAACAGTGCGTAAAGAATTTCAGTTTTAACCTAAACTGTTTCTTGTACTACTAGAGTTATAGAAGGTATAGCTCATTAGGCACGTGATATTGTGTACCTACACTTAAGTAGGTCGCAGCCATGAATCATAGTCTCTGTTTATTCTTTCACATTTTACGTTGCTCTTATTCTCTTATGATACTTAAAAGATTTCCGATATATTGCCAATGATGGATAGCCACTCAGCTACCTTTTCCACAGAACCTTCTACCCAAAAAAAATAAAAATGGTAGCAATGGAAACTGCGTGTGCGGAAAAAGGTCTCAAAAAACCTGCAGCCCCAGCCAGGCGAGGCCTAGACACCGGGAGTACATGAGGTGCGCATATTCATCTATACCTCCCTTCTTTGTAACATTCGAGCCCATTTTGATATAGTCCACTATCGCCATATTGGTTGTTGGATATGCTCGGGAAACTCATTGGATGGCTTTTCCTCCACAATTAAGGGCAGGGAATGAGGAGATCTTCGACCCTAGCATTTGATTAGATTGTGATCAGCTTAATGTCACTGACGCTAGGGAGTTGTGTTGAGAGATGAAGACAATACAGACCATGAAAGCAATTGGGAATCCTCATCAAAACGAGGATTGTGTTACTCAATATCGGCTTTACAGAATGCATAGTGATAGCTGGAGGCTCTTATGGGACACTGTAGGCAGCTGTTGATCCTTCTTCTCTCGCTTTATAAGAGTGGTAGTTGTGTGATGGGTCACCATTTTTTCCACTATGAGCCTTGATTTTCTGGAGAGCTACATAATGGGAAACGTGTAGTTGCATTTGTCCTAAAAATTTTTGCACACTTATGGCCCACATGCAATAAAATTTGCGGAGAACTTGCCTCTCAAAAAATATAGGTTACTGTAATATAAGCTATTCTCACTTAACGCACCATAAAAGCCAAGGGCTCATAGTTTCGAACACTTTCTATCTTTATCAGCCTACTTCCTTCCTGAATTGCTCATACTATAGATATTCTCAATGGTTATTCATTGAGTAATAATAAAATTTCGCCGGAAAGCTGCGCAGTGCTACACGCTATCTTTTCTATCAATTTGACAACATAGACCTCGTTTTATTTTTTCTCAACCCCGATCACGTCATCTGATCTAATAAGCTCAAGCATAGTGAGTTTGGGTTTTGGTGCTGATAAATCCAGTGGTTTTGACACCTTGCATAATGCAACAAATGCTGCAGAAAATGAAGTTTGTGGAGTCCAAGCAGCTCCAGAGGAAAGAAACATCGAGATTTCAGCAGTCCTATTATAAAGATTAGACACCTTATGATGGATCAATTGGATCAAGAAGAAATACCAGAAAAAGACATCAACAAAGCCGTCAACGCTCTTAATATTCATAGAAAGCCCTGGGCTGAGATGGCCCAGAAATTGTCTCCAATCAATAAGAGAATTATGTGTTGAGATAGTACTGACAAATAACGGTCACGGTACCGAAGGTGCAAACCCACGCCTAGCACTGCAACATGCACATCTACTGCTCGCCACCAAGATTCGGGCGCGGGAGCGCCCAGGTAAAAACTATACATGGAAGCAATCGGGGTAGCAACACCATAAGCCCCTGGAATATAAGTGCTAGCCGCAAGGGGTCGGGTACCACTCAGCGTATATGCAACAGCATCGAGTGTACAGGTGTATCTCGAGTGTCACTAAAGGAAACCAGTACGGTCGCCCCTGGATCAGCTATTCAGGGGCGCTCAACTAAGGTACTGAGCTGCAATTATAGGAGCAGTGATGCGACTGGCAAGCGGAGGATATACGAGAGCCGCAGGAGCAGCAATGGCCGCTCATGAACTGTGGATCCATGAGCGCTGGATTGGTAATGTGATTACTATAGATAGTCAATCACGAGATGGAACTAAGACTATGACATGGGTCATACAGATGTATATAAGATAGCATATATTCATACTTCTGACAGTATCAAAATCTGTAAAACACATCCTCTACATACTCCAATCAGACATAACAAGTGACAAGTAACTATGTTCCCATATGACTCATAACCTTAACATTATGGCCCTCGAGGCGGCTGTAATGAATGGCCTCGCAGATCCCGCTGTAAGAGTTGTTCCAAGAGAAGTCCCGGGGATGCCGACACCACGGACTAACGCGTCAGTCAGTTCTCCACAAATGACAAAGAAAATGGTAGAGATAAGGATCGACAGAATGAAAGACCTGCAGCCATAGAAGCTAATTTTTAAAGCTCAAGATCACATTCAAGGTGCAAATGCAATTTGCTAAATATAAAGTAACAACACTTAGGTGATGTCAGCCGCGGGTTCACTAGGCGCAGGTTCACTAGGCGCAAGACTCGAGGCGTAGGAGAGGGCGTAGCGTACATTGTACTGAGGAAGGACGCCTCGTGGGAACGCAGAGTGCTTTCTAGAGAAGTGGTAAATGGAAAGGCGGGGAGTCGTTCTAAATAGAGGGGCCGGAGGTGACAGCAGGTCACTATGGTTGGCAGAGGACGAGAGGGAGGCGTGATTAGAATAATGTAACTATTCCTAAAGACAGAAAACAAAGCGTGAAGATATCAGACTCGGAAATGGAAACTACATAGGTGCCCTTGCTAAGCAATAAAGACTAGTGGGATTGGAGGGCAAGACTGAACACCTGTACGCGGTGTCCTCTACGAACCTGGGAGTGAAATATTCTCCCAGAGCCAAGCTCAGTCAAATTTCGCAATATCAAAGAAGTTGGCCCACGGGGCAAAAATCCAAATTACTCATCCACTTCGTTATTTCGCTCCCAACAAGTTTGACCCCTATCTTCGTCTCATCGAGTCTACAAGTACGACCAAGTACATCCTCATTCCAATGACCACACCACTCTTCGACCTTCTCTGGCCTCAGCTGGTCACCAAATACACGCCGACGCCGATATTTATACCCGATGGAGGAAGCAAAGCGTGGCGCACAAATCTGGGAGACAGTTCTTTGGAATGGACGTGAGAGGGATTAGGACAAGTTGACAAGATGATACAGAGGAAGGATATAACTTCGAAGGGCATGAGACTCCGAATTTTGGTAAGGAGTTTTTCGAATTGGGCTTTGTGCGCGCCAAGACTTCGCTTGCGAGAGTGCAGTTGACACTATAAAAACAAGCAAACGATGGAAGGTGTTGTGGTCCGCCTCCTGGTGGTGTTCTCCGGTATAGTTTGAGTAGCCTGAGCACCTACTCCATTTGGGAAGGAGATATCTCAGACCATATTTCGCGCGGAGAAAAGTTGAAAGATGATGGAGGCATGTCTGGATAACTCAGGGTTTTTGAGATGTTCCCCTGGGTGGGTATTCACGGATGAGGGTTGACTTGGGGTGAAGAAAAAGCCGCCATAACTTCGCAGTGGTACTTGCAAATGAAATCTGAGGCTTGAGTGCTCTACTTTTGAATTGAATCATCTATTCTATACTTTTCTTTGATATTGTGTCATAGCTAGATAGCTGCATACGCAATTAAAATCTGATGCAAAAAAAAAAAAAAAAAAAAAAAAAAAAAAGACTTGTGGGATTAAACAAGGAACCCATAAATCCTGCCTGAGGCATTTCTC